CATTGAACATTTTCAATTTCAATGGAGACTCCATCTTCAATTTCAAAAAAGTGTGGTTCCATTATTTTTGATTTGTTGTCAAAAATATTTTTATTTAAAATCTGTTCGTCATTTGAGTTATTCTTATCTATACCTTCTACATCTATATTCACGCCATCCATTTCTATATCCATCCTCTTGTTGATATTTGTTTCTGTGACTATTTCAGAGATTTTGGTATTTAAAACTCCATTTTCATCCATTTCAATACAACAATCAAAAGCAGAGTTCTTATTTTTTTTTAAAGAAAATTTTAAAACTGGTTTGTTTTTCTTTTTCACCAGATTAGGGCCTAAAGATAACTGTATTAGATTTTTCATTAGTATCAATTAGGAGTCTAGTAATAGTCTTTTTCAATTAACTTTGTAGGAATTTCTGCTTCTTGAGAATGGTATTTGCCCTTTGCAATCATTTATTAATGCACGAAAGTACTCACACCACATAGTCTTGAATAAGATGTAACAACTTTGGCATGCATCTTTTCCATGTTTTTTGTTCCTTTGTTAATTCCATAGTGACTCTATCTAATATGAGTAAATAATCTATTTCCTAAGAAATATAACTCTTTCTAAAGTTCTGAAATCTTGAATTCAGCTTGTTCAGCTGGTTTATTGTTTACATCACATGATGCAAAATTAAGTAAGCTGAGACTGTGTGAAGAAGACTTGCATTTAAACAATCAAAAATTTGTTGTACAATATGATATGAGAATGTTGGATAGTTTGAAATATAGGTTTGAGAATATTGTTGAACAATAATATATAATGTATTCAATATCTTTAAACTGTTACATTCTTTTAACAATTCATTCAAACATTTTTGAAAATACATCATTTATAGAGAAATGAACTCTCAACTCAATACTATTTTAATTTTTTGGTAATAATAGAATTGTTATCATGTGACAATAAAGTACATATGTATTTAAAAATAGCTACTAGACAACCAAAACATTCTATTATAGAAAAATGTTATTTAGTGATTTCATTATGAAAATTTAATTTCACATATTTTAAGAGATTGTTCAATATTATAGAAACTGTTAATGTGAACAGCTTTGCAATATCGATCTGCACATGAACAAGAATATTGACACTTCTGATCACTCCAATATACTAAATGACAAATTTCAAATTCTTCATAAAAATTGACTTTAAACTGAGGAAGTGGAGGAATTGATCTTATGCCAGCATATCAAAGAATGTTATCAGAAAAGAAGATATTAAGATACCAAAGAAAGCTTTATAAGTACCTGCAAAATAAAATATTTTCAATTTGGGCAAGATTTGAAACCATGAGATGACTTCATCAGAAGTTCTAGAAAAGTGTTCTGAACTTCATTTAGAAGCTCAATAAACACATCAAATGTTGGTAAATTGCATGATTTTTTAAGTTGTAGTCTTATAATATATTCAACTGTTCAAATAAGCACACTTTAAAAAATTTACTTTATTTCTTGTTTATATATAAACAGAATGTAATATGCTAATGTGGGAGACCAAAAGAACATCAAATACAATTTAAACGAAATTCTTAGGAATTTCGTGCTATAAGCGAAAAACAAAATCTTATAAATATATTTTAGATTGAAAAATGTTTTTTCAGTTCCAATCAGGTCCATTTTCTGTTGGGCTTTTTATCTGTCATATTTGCTTATCTCATTTCTAAGAAATTGCAAAATTTTCATATTACCTTACTGGATATTATGAAATATGGATAATTGTTGATCTCATATTCAGTTGAGTTTGAAATGTCACAAAACTACAGTTCACAAAACACTCAATTAAATGAATTTCAAGATTTAAAAGCCAAACTTCAGTGTAAACTTTGCTTTAGCAAACTAGCAAATACATTGCTCTTACCATGTAGTCATGTATTTTCTTGTAAGGAATGTTTGTTGAGTTTGTCAAAGCCTGAATGTCCTTTCTGTAGAGGATTAATTAGAGGATATGTGGATATTAAATCAGATATAGATAATTTAAACATCAACTTTGGAGAAGACAGTTAAAGAAATGGGAGCTTTGTCTTGTATTTCTAATAATTTTCTGACTCAGACTTATTTTCAATTTTTCTCTTACTAAGCTTAAAGAAACAAAATAAATGTACACTTATGAACTATAGTTTACAGATATTTTATGGATGCAACAGAAAACGTCCACAAATCAGTGATTTATCCTAACCCTAACCCAGCCCTTAACTGTACCTAACCTTTTCCATTAGCCCTAACCCTTAGAGGAGACCCTCCTAAGTACAAATCAAATGCTGTTTTCTCCTGCCTAACCATTTTTCAATCCAAATTTTTGTCTTGAAATTTCTCATTTGTGGACGTTTTCTGTCAACCCCATATTTTATAAATAATACTTACTATATGGTAGAAGTGTTGAAGTAGATGTTGCCTCTGGGGTAGATGGTACCGAACTGCCAGTATCAACCCCTAAAAAAAGGATAAGATGTTACATAGCCAAACATGTTGACAATAACAAGGGTATATTTACATAAATACAGTATCCTATTTTTGAACTTTATGAATTCTGATAAAAATGTTGTTAGAAAAGTTAAGAAATATGTTTATTTTTACATTTTATTAACATATAGATTATATTACTTCAAATAATCACTTTTTCTTTTTCTTTAATACCTTATATTATATCCTTTATTTTTCCAACATAATCTGGCTCTTTTATAGAAGCTTTTGTATAAATTTGCAATATACCAATTTGGAATGTTATTAAATTCCTCTTCTACTGCCCTCCACAAATCATCTTTTGTCCACAAAACGTGGGTTTGCAACCTATTTTTTAAGTAAGCCCACAAATTTTCAATAATGTTTAATTCTGGGCTTCTGGATGGCCAGTTTTGTAAAACTGCTATATTGTTTCTCTCAAGAAATGTCCTTGTAGATGCCAATGTATGACATTTGGCACCATCCTGCATAAGCAGGTTGTCTGGCTCAAAGATTGGAAATAGCTTCTCCTCAATTATTTCTTGGTATAAATTGCTATCCATATACCCATTATATAACTTTATAGCTCTTGTTCCATCAGCTTTTATACACCCCCATATTGATATTGACAAATTTGCTGTTAGAACTGCTTTTTTGGTGTATTTTGGGTCATACCATTTATGACTCCCCCTATGGACACAAATTCTCCTTTTTGGATACAATTCAATCCGACTTTCATCGGAAAATATAATTTTGTTTACATCTTCTTGACTCTTATTTAACATAGACAAATAAAAAGATTTTCAATTTCTTGCATGGCAAGGTTTTAGCACTGGCTTACTTGTTGCAACATAGCCTTTAAGGTCGTTTTTTTGCAAAATCTTTTTGCATGTCGATAGAGAAATTTTGGAACCTAATCCTGAATGTTCAAGCACATTCCTTGCCGTTAGAAATGGATTTCTCTTTGAAATTTGGCAAATTTTTCTCTCTCCCCTTTGTGTTAAAATCTTTGGCATACAGAGTTTTGATAGATTGCTAATAGTTCCATGTTTCTCAAATTTTTTTGTTATGTAATGGACAGATCCCTTTGAAATTTTTAATTGTTTTCCAATTTCATTCATTGACATCTTCTCCTTCCTCTTTTCCAACACTAATTTTCTCATGTCCAAGCTTATTTTTGGCATTTTTAACTTTTTTAAAATTGTTATCCTACTTTGATTCTTGACATAAATTTTCGTGTGGGAAAGCAAAAAAATTTGGTCATTTTCATAAATTTTTAATTATTGTTCAAAAATAGGATATTGGGTACTTTTCACGATTTTTTCATAATAAAAATTTTTTTGTTTTTTAAACAGTAAAATACAAAGATTTAATTAATTGAATATGTTGATTACAAAGTCACAATTGCCTTGTCTAATTGTTGGATTGTAAAATTAATGTTAAAGAAAAAATATTTTAACTAATATAGAAAAAAGCTGGGCGTTCAAAAATAGGTTACCCATACTGTATAATGTAACAATTGACCCTGTTTGTTGTGAACAATCCTTATCAACTCCCTTAGTGAACAGGTCTAATATAGGTCTAGAAATGCTTATTCAGCTTGAACAAGTTGAAACAAGCTACTTGTTTGAACTTTTTTGGATAGGCCTAATAGTGTACAAAGAAAAGTTGCAAATATGTTGATTTTTTTATTGTGTTTTTCTTCTAAATAATAGTTGAATTTCAAAGGTTGGAGAATTCCATAAAATGTTATACTAACTGGTTTTGCAATACATTTGTTCTATGACTAATTAATGTTGCACAATATTCAAACAAATTTCAAGTAATTTCCCCAAAAGATTTGTCTATCGTCCATATTACATTTAATTATTTCTAAAATATGTATGATATAGTATACAAATTCCCTATTTTGAGATATTTTGGAAAATATCCCAGAAAAGTTACTAATCACCTAAAATCTTATTTGTCATATGCAGCTTCTTCAATTTTGTATGAGCAACCTCTAAAAATATATCAATAAACTGGTGAAATCTTATCCAAAATTACACATTTAAAACTTGATTTCAGTAGTTTAATTACCTCTTTAAAAACTGAAACCATGGGAGATAGATAAAACCAATAAAAAATCATTAGAAATCTATGAGGTCAACAGAAAGTGTCCACAAAAGAGAACTTTCAAAACTAGATTTTGGATTGAGAAATGGTTAGCAAGAGGAAGACAGCAACTGATTTGTACTGGTTAGGGTAAAAGCACTGATTTGTGGATGTTTTCCTCATCCAAAATCTATTTCTAAGCTATTTTTTAGTTTCTATATATCTTTTTTGTGATTACATCACTCACTTTTTGTTACTTTGTTTACTGATATCTTCTTTTACTCAAGCTAAGCACTAAAATTTCAATTTGATCATCTTTACTATGAAGAGCTCAAGTTTTGACTTACAGGATAAAAGTCATAGGTTTACAGATAAAATATCCATAACATAAGAGAAGACACCCACAATATTTTTATATATAAAAAATGGTTTTGAGATTAATATTTGAATGGAAATTTGAAAAATTTGAAGAAATAAGTATGTAATATTTTATTAATGTAATAGGGTTTGTCTAATATAAATGCTTGCTCTCTTTTCTAATAACTATGATGCAGATATTGATCTAACTGCAAATTGTTCCCATAGGCCAAAAATCTGACTTTGGATTTTCTGATATGGTTTTCTTTACTGTCTACAGATCTTTCTGACAGTCACAGAACTGATCAAGGAAGGAATTTTCTTGAGGAAATCTTTATAGAAATGTTCTCACAATGCGTCTATTTCCATAGATTGTTCACAGTTGAAAAGAGGAAAAATTTGTATCTATTTATTGAGGTATATGTTAGATGGTACATTGTATATTTCTTATATTTCATACCATCCAAATACAATGATGAACAGAATATTTGTTTTGATTGATTTATAATATTTATATATTATTATGTATTGATTTTTATAAATATAGATTTTCCTAACATTTATTCAATGATCAATTAGATTACTTGAAAATTCACTCCTTTCAACTGTTGCATTGTATTTATTCATTAATTCAACCTCTATATATATTGTGTATGTAGGCATTGTAAAATTTGAATTCTGCAGCTAAGAATGTATCAAAGAATTAACTCTGTTTTTCTTCTTCTTGTGTTGGCAAATGGCGTTGAGTTTCAACAAATCTACATTGATAAATCAAGTATATTTATACCATTCATATTACTAATAATTACTTTATTTTAATGACATTTTACCCAGTGTGCCAAACTTTTGTGGGCCAGGTGAATAGAAAATATTTAGGTATGAAAGGTTTAAGAATAACACCAAATTTGGATAGGAAAAGTTGTCTTGAATCGTGTATCAATGATAAAGTTTGTTCAAGTGTTGAATATAATGAATTAACAAAAGATTGTAGAAAGAAAGATTACGGTTCGTACAAAAAATATACAGAAGAGGAATTACATACCTTCTTATATACAAAAATTCCGAATCCAGGTTTGTCAATATGAGTTAGGGTTAACCTAACCCCAATTATATATATATATATATATATTAATGGTTTACAACACCTTTGTTACAGATTGCCAGAATTGGAAGAGGACAGACAACAACCATTTAATTTATCATTGCGATCCTTGTGTTATCCAAAATTTGCCCATTAATAACTTGGAAGCCTGTGAGCAAAAATGTTCTGAAAATTCAGGCTGTTATGCTGTCAACAAGGCTGAACATTGCCACTTGCTTGGCTCCATTTCAGTACCTGACGCTATGCTGACTTCTGGAAAAACTGTAAATTCTCATAAGCCTATGTGCCTAGGTAAGTTTAAAATGTATTCTAATTTAATAAGTAAATTGCCTGTAAACTTGACTTAAATGTTAGCCCTATTTAATATTTCAACTGAACATATCTGCATTAATTACTTGGAGAAGAGTTGGATTGATTCACTAGGTGATGGAATTACAGAATGCCCTGCAAGACAAATAATGGTTCCATTGAAGGCAGTAATTAAATTTACTACAGCAGACCTTATCAGTTATCCCATAGAAGTTGCAATTTATCTTTTAGACAACAAAGATAAATGCTCAAGTATTGTTGTTTCAAACAACTGGAATGAAAAGAACTATTTGTGTAAACTAGTTGATATTCAAGTGAATTTATGCAAATTTGAATGTTATGGTAAAAATTATGACAATATAATTATTCGTAGTTTGTCAAGTTCCCTTGTATTTTGTGAAATTCAAATTTCATCAACTAAACAATTAATTAATGTTTGTGTATAAGATATTTTTGAAACTATCTTTTAATGTCAAATCTCCAATTCTAATTATATTTTTCTAATTGTTCATATTTTATTGCTCAGTTCTCAGTTCTATATAATTATTTAAATAGTAATACCATTGTTAGAGATAGACAAAGAGATGCTGCAACTCAATTTATCATTATACAAGAATATTAATAATCCAATAATTGCTATTGTTTCTAATTAAATGATAAAATTGACACTAATAAATAGGATTAAATATTTAATTGTTGTCTCAACTGTTCAAACATAAAAGTCTCATTTAAATTCTTCATGACACAGCCTAGTCTTATAGCAAGACAATTCACCATTCTTATTTTTAAAAGGATTGTAAAAACTTATCAAAGTTGGAATTTTAATAAAATCTCACTATGTTCTAACGTAGACCTAGTCCATTTTTTAAAATCAACCAATTAAATATCTCAAAAGAATTAGATGATATATATCATTCATTATATTCATTAGCATTGGATGGAGATATAGCATAAGAAATCTCAAAGATCTTAAATTAGCAAATGAGTGAATGAAAAATATTTACTATATACAAAGTTTGAAGACATGATATCTATTTTCATAGTTAAATTAAATATATAGTAAATGTTTTAGTTCTTTTCAATAAACCATTTAAACAACTTTCCATTTACAATTTTTATAAAAATTCACATGCTATTTGTAATGTTTAATGATGTAAAATTGCTTATAAAAGCAATTCAAAGGGTGAAATATTGCTTATTTTATTTTTGAATACAAATCTATTTCATTGAGTTTAAACTGTTGTTGTGAAAATTTTCCTAACTACAAGAAGGCCTACCTAGCCAAAGGTACTGTGACCAACTAAGTTTGTGTAAACTAGTTTACTTGGGTGCAGGTTCTCTTTGCTCTTGTTGAGAATTTGCACTTGTATTAGCTGTCATCATTTGCCAGCTTATTATTTACATTTTTTTTTAAAACTATTTATCTTTATAATCATTTCTATTTTTTAATAGATGCAGTGCATCCATGTTTTTAAAGCCAATTTAGTTAAAAGGATCAAAGACAACAGTCAATATGCCATTTTAAAATTGAATTATATGAATGGCTATTTTTTTTAAACCACACTGAAAAAATGAAGAAAACAAGTTTAAAACCTAAAGCTGACAAGGTTGATTTGTTAAGTTTGATATAATTTATCCATTTTCCACTTGTTTTGTTCTAACTTAGCAAAAACAGTAGAATATTGAAAAGATAACTTTTAGAAATGTAGGACTTGCCTAAACAATTAGTGGTTATATTGATATTTTCCATATCATACCTGATCTATAGATGATGAGCCAATCAGAACCAACAATGATCTGGAAGGATGGTGCAATAAATTAAACAGGAATATTTATACAAATAATACAGTTTGAAGGTTCTGAATTTCCCTTCCAGTTTAATTATTGTTAAAATATTCCAGAATCAAATTTTTAAATATCAGAGTTTTCACTGAGTAAACTGAACTCTTCTCACAAATTAATTTATATTCATAAATTGTAAATACCCACTATTACTAAACTGATGAGTTGGTCTTCAATAACATACACTGATTAACATTAGGTCAACTTTAATCTATATGCATTAAAATTATAAATTATTTCTCTTTGAAAATAGATATTTCTAAAAATAGATGAGAAAGTAGGAATGTTTTCCCACAGTGCTTTATTCTGCCTCCTGTCTTCCTGGAAGGAAGAGGGAATTATGAACTCGAATAGTGATAAAATTACAGACAAAATAGATTATACTGAAATCTCTTATCCAACAGACATCAAATTGAGAATAGCAAATAGAGAATGGACCAAAGTTCATGGAGAACAAGTAATTTATATTTTCTTTATATTTTCTCAGGGCTGGCAAAAACATAAATGAATCATTGTCTTATAGTTGAGAGGATCCTGACTAAGAAAGACTGTAAATTCATGGACACTTTCTGTCACATCCACTTCCACCATGGCGCAATATATATGTTAAAATGAATGAATGGACAAAGCTGAAGTTAAGTTCAAGGTTAACTTTCCAATGCCTGGTATTTACACTTATAATATTTATGTTAGAGAATGTAATTCTGCAGGTAGTTATTTGCTAGCTTACACTTGTGTTTTCATTGCAAGCCAAGGTTGCAATGAAAGTGTTCAATTGAACCATTTCACAAGCTGTATTACAATACAGATGTTAAATTTTTAATAGAAATTCCAAATGCAAAAAAAAGTTGCTATTGTTAGATCATCAGATGAAAAATGGTTTAATGCTGATCATTTTGACATAATGTAGAATGTTATGGGTAAAACTGGATTAGATTCAGGAATCTTGAAATTATATATAAATTTTGATTCAAATTTAAATTCATATAAATGCTTTGGTACATTTAAAGTAAGTTGCTGAAAGTTGTCAATAGATAAATTAAAATTTTATGTTATCTTTTTTTTCAACATTAGATTTTTAATAAAAATGATAAATCTTTGAATGAATCTGAAGAACCTTCATTGTCATCTTTTGCAGTATTATTAACTTATTATTTGTATTTTCTTTAAAAAAATTCAATCTTTGTAATCAGGTTTATTTTTCCAGATTGAAAATATATTTAAAGTTCAGAATGGTGATTTGTAGTGCTCTAGCAGAGAGTATCCAAGTATAAATAAAGTGAATGAACACATGACACATAAGGTGGATAATTCTTCAACTGAGAGTTAATGGGGCACTTACAGTTTGAAAAACTACAAGATAATCAATAGATTACATTACTGTCTTTTCTTTCAATTATTAATTAAAAAGCTTTGTATATTAAGAAAAAAAATACTAGTTTGTAATTTATCATTAGAGAAATATGATTAGAATTTTCACCTTTGTTCATTTGATTTTTCTCATTTCAGTTGCAATTGCAAAAAAAGATTGTCCCAATGGAGAAGAAGTAATTGAAATAAAAAATGATGAAAATCTTCAATATTCTATAGTTAAAATTCAAGAAGATAAATTGTTTGTCTATGGGCAATTGAAAGTGAAAATATGATCAACTGATCAGATTTTAACACTTGCCTCTTATTCAGAAATTAAAAGAGGATATCTGAAGACTATTTGCCACATGATGGGATATGATGGGAAATTCTCATTAGCTCAAGCTTGTCTGGAGAGAAAAGGTTCCATGGTTTCTTCAATGATTAATACACTTCCAAACCAACTTCTTCTCTTTCCAGAAAGTCCTGAACCTATATATATTACTTTAGAAAAAAAGGTTTCATGCTAGCAATTTTTTTTGTCTAATGCTTTCTCCTTCATTCTCAAATCTGAAATTCAATTCAAACAATGATTCCACAGTTATAAACTTCCGAAAAAGTATCTAGACGTCTTTCCCCTGTGCATAAAATGCTTTAGAATTCATCAAACAAGTACAAATTGACTGTTGATTTAGCAATTAATATTTTGTAACATTCTGTCCCCTTCAGTTTTGTTTGCAATGCAAATGGATTTTCAAAGTGACTACCAATTATATTTAAGGTATAAACAGAAGATTTTTCTTCCATCTTCAAAATCTGAAGGAGTAAATGCTGAGAATTTGTGCGGAAAAGTTCATTTCTAGGAAAATTACAAGAAAATGAATAGAAGAATAGTCATGAAAGATTACACAGGTTTCGTCACTGAAAATGGAACATTTGTGATTAAATTATCAAAATATTACAATTACTTAAATGAATCATTTACCTGCTCATATCATCAATTGAAAGGTGAGACTTTCTTTTCCTGTCCCTATTTTCAACATTGATTGTATTTCTACAAAGATTTTATGATTGAAAAGATGCCCCAATCTTTTCACAATCTAATGTTTAAGAATATTGCCCAGTTTGGCACTTCCTTTATAGTCATTTAAAAAACAATGGGTTATTTCCCATTAGCTTTTTTTAATAAATTAAATATCTACCAAGCTGGTTTGTTAATTTGCAAACAGGATTCAAAGGTTTTTGGACCACCATACACAGTACTTAAATCCAAAGATTATGCAAATATACATGAATTTACAGTTGTGACAAACATTTTGAATTTGTTCAAAAACTTTCAACAGTTTGAAAATTATAATCAATGCAGATCAATCAATCAGGATTTTAACAATTTTAGATGTATATCATTGAACAATTGTGATTTTACTTTGAATGATTTTTTGGCCAGTTGCAAAATTCGAAGAAAAAAAAGTGGCAAGATTATATTTTTCAAATGTCAAAATAAAACCCATTCAAGTTTGTAGATTTCTGAAAAAGTTTGTCAAATCCTGTTACTTTTTCTGCAGATTTCTATTACAGACTTTTCAATAGTCCAGCAAAGATTTTGCACTTTGGAGAGATTCATCATTTCAATCAATTCATTCGAAGTCTTCAAATTTTCTATAAAAATGTTTGGTTTCAACCAACTTTTCAATTTCTTCAATTCAATGAATTAAAAGTTCTTTGCAAGACATTTGGTTTTTGGTCAGGAGAAATCAAAAGCTTTTCAAAAACATATATTTTAATTATTTATAATATTTTCATGAAATGTACTCAAATCAAAAACAATTCTCTTTGCACAATGAAAATTAGAGACAGAAGAGCTGATTCCCTTCTGGAAGATAACATTGGCAGAATGGTGAATGTGAAATGTTCAAATACTGGCAAAGGTTAAATATAGATAATTTAGAGTGAGTGAGTAGTATCTATGCATTATATTTCATGATAGACTGTAAGGATCCCAAGGCTTTCCTCTTCCAAGCATTTTGCTTTCTGATTATCACGAGAAAGAAGAGAATATCAATAAATAAAAGTGCAAAGATATGCTCATCAAAAAATAGTACTCTAGGTTT